TTTATAACATTCATGCATCAAAATATTATCAGAGCTTCAGTTAACCGAGAGTGTTTTAGAAAAAAAAATTGAAATGTTACATTGAAAATGAAATTCCAGATTATAATAAAGATTATTATCAAATAATGCAGAACATTGAAGGTTTGAAGGAATAAATGAAGGCAGGAATTATAGGTACCTATATATTATATAGACCCTTATATTATATTATATAAATGCATAGTATGTATTAAATACATGAAAATTAAAAAGGAATTAATGCATAGACTACAGGCAAGTTTCTTAAAATCGTTAGTCGTTATGGCGTTAAGATTTATGAGAAAATCCGAATTTTGCTCATCAACCCGTTAGCCACAAATTTAGTATAATTGAGTCACAAACCGGAAAACGCTATAAAATCGGTCCACCGTTCAGAGATAATCATGGTACAGACAAACCAATGACTGAAAATATGTTTTGTTTTTTTAAACATGGTGCTGTAAAACGTAAAGATCTGTCGAAAAACAAAGATATAAACTAACTGTGGCTTATTGAGGTATAGTTTAACATGTTAAAGTATACTGGTGCATATTATACGTTGAAAAGACTGGCACAGTATTAATCGTAATCAAAAATGACCTATTTTTTTTTTTAAAGTTTAAACTTAAATTTAATATAACTATTTTATAATAATTTCTTACTCGACAGATAGACACTTAACATTAAAATTAGGCAACGAATTATTCATCATAAAACGTGTTAGGACAGCAGTTCCCCAAGGCAGCATACTGGAACCATTACTTATCTATGTATTATATAGACCAGACCAATTTTAGATATTTAACTTTTATTAGAATAATAATGAAAATTTTATTTTTTTATTAAGTTTGAAATTTCCAATATTATACATTTCAAAATGCTGTTGTTAAAATTTAAATAATTAAAAAAAATTGAAATAATCTGTAATGTTTGAGATTTTTAAGTGTTCAAATATTAGTGTTGAAGCCGTTTTTTTATATCACTAAAAGAACGGTTGAACGGTGAGTGAGGATTCAAGCCAAAACAATAACTATAAATGCCTTACTAACAAAGCAACTAATTCTAGTTTTTTATTATCCAATACTTTAGCCAAATTCAATTCCACTTGTGTTTACTTCTTCCTTTTGTAATGAATACGATTTTTGCTTTACACAGAATTATTTGCCTTCCTCTTATTTTTCTATTTTGTAAAATGAATTTAATTTGAACAATATAGTAAAATAAAAAGTAATAATAAGTAAATAGTAAAATAAATATTAACACACTCTGCTTATACATTTGTATTTATAAATCGTATAATTTAGCAAAAACGTGCAAAAATGTGCAATTTAAGCAAAAAACGGCAAAACGTGCAATTTCGTGCAATATAAAAAACTGTAAAACATATATTAGTAGAATTTAGAAGGTACACTAATATAAGGAAAAAAATTCAAATGGGAACGGAAAGGAAAGAAATTCTGCAAGATGGAGAGAATGAAATAGAAAAACTGTTCAAATATTTAAAGAATATTCACTTTTATCAACGAATATAAAATGGAAACATTAAGCCAATGACCCTTAGGGGTAGGGGCTAAATCAACAAATTAAAAAAAAAAAAAAAAAAAAAAAATTAAATATGTTATTCTAAAGGTCCTGAAACAGATAGATAGTCGGGTCCGGAGTTTTTACACGCAAGCGAATAAAATGTGCAATAACATGGAAATCCGGTTTCTAATTATAACCATAGACATACACTGCTTGAGTAGAGAATCTGGCCATTACCAGAACTCACTAGTAGATCCAGGATTTTTTTTTTTAATGAAAATAATTTTATTATTCTGGGACTAGTGTTCCTTTAGAACAATTAACAAATGCAGAATATATATTTTAATATTTACAGGTTGATAAGGAATACAATAACGTTATAAATAATGAAAAGATATAAAAACGTGAAAATATAAAATATACTGAGACAGTAATTAAGTAAACGAAATATCGATGAATCACAAAATAATCAGAGTCTCTGTGTGTACTTTGAGGTTTTTACAGCTTAGGTTTTTAAGTACATTTAGTGATCAATCGAATTGGGAATGGAATAGGTGTTTGAAGACGAGAGATCTGAAAGAGGATATTGATTTTTCGTTTCGGATATCTGAAGGTGAGTTCCAGAGGGAGACAACTTGTATTAAAAAGAATTTATCAAACGCAGCAGTTGGGTGAGGAGGAGGATAGTGGTCGGACGCACGGGATCTGGTGGGACAGGATTGAAAGGAGCGTTTGAATTGTAGGATCAGTAGAATATAGGCAGGACACCGTGTTCTAATGGCTTGGTATAGGAAGGTAGCAAGGAAATATTGACGGCGGTAGGACGGATAAAGCCACCCGACGTATCCCTTGAGATCCCGAAGATAAAGCCGATTGGGGGAGGCTTCAGCCCGGAAGCTTTTGTTTTCATAACGTATAACGATAATTAATTTTAAAAAAAACAAAGAAAGAAACTACCTACATGTCCTGGAGTTTAAGTGATTCTTGAAGTCACTTTACATATTATTTCAAGAACAATAATACTTTAAGAGATAGTTTTTAATATTTTTTTTTTTTTTTATAAAACATGGTTATAATTTACCAGTTTGGGGGAAGAGGGAAGGGAGAGGCTTCAGCCCGAAAGCCCACATCCTCCTCCGTAGATCCGCCTGTGCCAGAACTCCAATATATTAAAAAAGATCTCTGGGCTGCTTCAACATTCGAGGAAGATTAGGAAAATGGGTGGTGCTAGATAGGGACTGTGCAACGGGTTTGGATGATATGTAAGATTCTGATGAAATTGGAATATTTTTCTGGGATAAGGTCTAGGATAAATGGGATATTAAGGTCATGGTTTGGGGTTTTATTGATTACATAGAATAGAGCATCAACTATCGTTCGAAGGACTTTGGACTAAAGGATCGGATATGTTTGATGTATGGAAATTCCGCTGTCACCCACAGTTCTAGTCCGTAGGTCCAAACAGGTTTCAGGATTATCTTGTAGATCAGTAATGCCCGCTGCAAAATCTTAAAAATACAATTTATCCAGACTCGATACGATGTCTATTGAAACCATCTCAGTTTTGAAACTTCCTAATTTCCTTAATAGATTTTATTATAGTTACTTAACGCTTCAAGTTAAGAAATTAACATTCGTCACTATAAATTTCCTTTCGTTTGATACCTCATTCATTAAAATACATTGCTCCTGAGGAAAAGGAATCTATGATATCGTCTTATATACTGTGTAGGTTCTTGCGAAAAACTATCAATATAACCAAATATATTATATTTATGAGTAAATATAATACATATTACATATAATATTATTATAATAATACTAAACACACACACCTGATAACTATTAATATAAATATATTGGGGGACGAGAAACTATAGGTTATATTATTATCTGTGTCTGGTTGAAGAGAAAACATGTACTTATACCAATGACATTAAAAACTAAAAACATCTTAGACTAATATCGTCGTGTTCAGTCATTTTTCCTTAAATGATTTAAAACATAAAATGATAGTAAAAAAAAAAAAACATTGTTAGTTTACAGTCATCAAACAGGACGATTTATGTCTAGTCATTTGTTGTTGATTCATAAAGAGAATTTTTTCTTTTTCTTTTATTATTTACCTAAACGGTCTAAATATATAAACTGGAAATGAATTTCATAGCTCAAGTAATTACGATGTGAATTTACCTTGACAAATGAACTAGTGTTCACAGTGATTAGTACAGTTATCCTAAATGCATTACGTAATTTCTAAGTTAAAAGAAAGAAAATAAATCACAGTTTTTACACTTCTGAATTTAGTTTTTCATCCCAAAAATTAAAAAAAAAATACAATAATCAAGATGTATTAGTGATAACACTTGTATATATTCATAATGATAAGAGACATAAAAAATATTATAAGTAATATTATGCAAGTTTTCAGAAGTAAATAAAAATTAGGAAATCCGTCGATAGATTAGATTACATTTATTTATCGAAGATTGTAGTATTTAGAATTAGCAGGCTGCATGCTTAACTTTTATTCACATAGCATAAAATAAATAGGATGCGACATGTGAAAAGCACTAATATATTATAAAGAATAAATAATGTATTCCAGATTAATAAGGAATTTCTTAAATATACAGTCCTGGAAGGCTATATAAATATCAGTAGACTTGTCAACTTTTTCAATACAATATAATCAACTTTGTAAATAAATGTTTTTGTTACTGTAATATATTTCTGTAGTTTACTGATACTGTTTAGAATTTTACTATTACTGACGCCTAACAACTTCAGTGTTTATCGGATTAAAACTCAAGCATTAAAGGATCCCCGGAGACATAAATTCAGAGTAATATTTTTTTTTTAATTTTACTTAAATAATTTGGAAAGTTAAGTAACGAAAATTTATTTGAATTTATTTAGTTTAAACTACTAAGAATGTTAAAAAAAAATACAATATTTGTATTAATATATACAATTATATATCAAATTCAGTTATAAACCCTGTCACAGGTTTCTGATGTTGTAATTAAATTTTTTTGTCAAGAATCAATACATTTATTAAAACACGATTAATTACTGCTAAAGTTGTGATTTATAAAATAATATTAATAATGCTTTATTTACATATCTCGAAAATAATGATTTAAAATAAAATAAATGTATTAACACAGTGTTCAAAATCAGTAGTCGCGATTTAAATGAAACGTTTTTTTTGCTTTATTATTTTAGTAATAAAAAATTAGTTTAAGATTATAGTGTATGTTTACGGACAATGATTCCAAAGCTAATATTGAACATATTAAAAGCGATCGTAAAACGTAGAGATAATATACGATGATATTGAAATAGCAAATAACTCAGTTTTAAGAACTATATCTAATCGGAAGGTGAGGCATAGCGGCTGAAGTGGTAGGGGAGGGAGTTCGTTTGGTATTCAGTGTTATTCCGTTTTTTCCACGATGCGGTGCGTTTGTTCGGTCCGTTCGGAGTTCTATTATTGTATCTCTGTTGTATTAGTGTGGCAGTTCTATACAGCTAGCTGCCTGTGTACCAATGGTACCCAATGCGTACCCAAGTGCTGCCCCGTAGGCAAGATCAAGACCAGCCTTGGATGCGTTCCAGGAGGAAACGGATTAGATATTCCAGAAGGCGTCTTCGTCCTCCAAAGGCAACCAAATTGCTCCAGTATGTACTACCTCGAACCGGATAAAGACAAGTACGAGCTGTTCTACAACGGTACCCTCATGCTGGAAGAGCAAGATGCCATGGTTCCAATGAATGATTTCTGCTTGGATGAGAACTTACTCAACAAGACATTCATCTACGTCTGTTTCCCGCCAGCGGAGGACGACACTCAGAAGGAACAGCAACTCAGAGTGTATTCTGTAGGTCTCTTCATATCCTTACCTTTCATATTCGCAACGTTCCTCGTCTACGCTTGTATTAAGAAGCTTACAAAAAACCTTCATGGAAAGTGCGTTATGTATCACAATCTGTGTTTATTTCTCTCTTATTTACTCTTGGGCATACTTCAAAACAACCTGATACTAGACGATGTTCTATGTTTTATACTAGGTAAGTTAGTTCCTTCATACAATTTTGAATTGTTCTATTTTTTTTAGGTGATATGTGCAATATGTTTTTTGGTATAGGAAACTCCCTGCTTAAACATTAAATATTTCAATTTTAAACACAGTTCATGTATGAAACTTAATTTATAAAATATACGAAATGTGGAGTGACGTCTTTAAATAGTGAAGAGTTTCATTATTATTAAAAATTCCAGTAAAGAACGGGGTAGCTGATTGGGTACGGTACTGACTTCCAATGCTCAAGATCCTAGGTTCGAATCCGGCTGAAGGCATGTAATCATTTATTCTGTTTTATGAGACGTGGATCGACCCTAGGATCAGGAATACTTTCTGGATAAAGTGGATACTCTTAATTAATTAAATAAGGGAAAAACCTGAAGGTTTGAGCTTGATCTCGGCCCAATCACTTCTCTGCACAACTGTTTACCTTGAAACAAATAGTACTTCTTTACAAAGTGCTGAACTCATGATAACAGTATTATTAATTTTTTTTTAAAAGTTTTAATACTCCTCAACACTGTTCGAAAATTAATTTACTAGGGCAGATTGATGACTCAGTTTCTATACGGGAAAAAGAGGTACTGCTTAAAGCAATTTTCAAAAAATGACACGGGCCTATAAAGGAAGTTTAGAATGCCATGTATCACCGAAATAGACTACATCGAATGGTTCACTTAGAGACTCATTCGAGTAATGATACGGTTTGATTGAACCGAAGTATGAATGAACATTTCTCAACACTAGCGGATCCAAGGTTTAATTTTGGGGTGCTTCAGTCCGAAAGTTTTTTTTTTGTGTATATATATATATATATATATATATATATATATATATATATACGATAATTACTTTGTAAGAAAATAAAGGAACAAACTACGTATATTAAATCGCATATAAGTGATTCTTGAAGTCATTTTTTTAATTTTATTTATTTAGTAATACTTGGACAATAATTATAGGAAGGTAAGACCACATTTATAATATACATAGAGAAAAGATAAAATAAACAGCAGAAAAATAATAACTAAATAATAATCAAAGTATATACAATAAATAAAAATAAAATAACTTAAAGATTTACAATCAGGTGAGGGAATTCCGAGGCAGGCTTTTCCCTCCAAGTGTCGAGGTAAAAGTGAAGTGCTATTATATAATTACACGACCAATAACACTTTTAAAGATAATTATTTAATAATTTATTCAAAATACATAGTTATACTTTACCATTTTTAGGGGTTTCAGCCCGATAGTCATTTCCCCCTCCTCTCTAGATCCGCCTGTGTTTCTGTATATTAATATAAAAGACTTCACTAACGGTCTCCTAATGTGTTTCCACTCACCACCCTCTCAAATGTTTAAGCCATTAACTTTTATCTACAATAAATCACAATATTGTTTCAGTTAATAATACTCTGATTTATTAGGAAGTGAAATTAGGTAACAATTATCTCCGGCCTCCAACCAAAAAAAAATAATAAAATAAAATAAAAATAGGAATATCATAATGAATGAAATCATCGATCGAGGAAAAAAAATCAGAATTTCATTTCAGAAAAATAAATTAAAACTGTGACACAACAGGTGGTGAATGCTGCTTGTCAACATTTAGATTCCTGTTACATTACTTAGCATTGCATGAATCAACTAAAATACATGACAGGAAAAATATTTCAATGTACATATTTTGTGAATGAATACTATAGTCCTAGTACCAATGCCCTTCAGTGTGGCAGACTGTATTAATACTCAATACAAGTTAAAAAAAAAAAATATATATATATATATATATATATATATATATATATATATATTTCAATAAGAAATTATATCTAAAAAAAATATTGGATAGAAGTAATAAACGATTTACTAAATTTTTAAACCTTCAAGCATTTAACAAAATTAAATATTTTGGAAGAGTATCTCCAAGTGTTCGAAAAATATTCCCTAAAATGCGAGAGGTTTAATTTTTTTTAATATAGATTTTTTCAAGTAGATGGTGTCGTTTTTCATGATTAGTTCCTTTCAAAATATTTGAATACTGAATTGGTTTAGTTGTACTTCTAGAACAACTCCCCTGTATGCTGGAAATTGTGAGGTAGGTATAATGAAAAAAAAATGCATTTATATATATATATCTTTACATCACTTAACACATATCTGTCTCATTCCAAAACTCTTTTATTGCTCGCTCTGTTAATTTCTGAAATCCCCTTCCTATCAAAATTCGTCATTTCCCCTTCTTATCTACATTTAAAACACTATTATTCCAATTCCTGTCACACAGTCAGATACCCGCTAACCTTTTATGTAAATTACTTACTATTCATAATGATTAGCATAATGATGTATCTACATATAATTCATCACTTAAATGCTCTGACAATTTTTACTATCAGATTCGGCTTTTTTTTTTCTACAGAGATACAGAGTTTAAGTCTAAGAAGAATGTAATGTATTTTTTATTTTTTCTATATATTTTTTTCTAAAATTGTATATTTATATTTTACCACTGTACATGGTTTTAAGTGCCTTGGCATAGTTTCAAGTGTTTTATATATTAGAATTTTTTATTTTGTACATAGTATGTTTGATTAAAGTTTTCTTTACTTATTTCTCTTTCTTTTTACTTTTTTGTGTTGGTTTTTAGTTAGGCCAAATATAATATTTTAATTTTGTACTTCTTTTTATTCTAAGGGTCCCAGAACCAAATTATTTTCTATTCTATAAAGGATGTATGTATATATATATATATATATATATATATATATATTATATATATATATATATATATATATATATATATATATATATAGGAATGATAGCAGATCTCAATAGCTACAAAAAAGTTCATATAAACACTGAGCTAATTTTCAGCAGAAAATTAGCGAAAATAACTGCAATTAACTGTTACAAATTCTTTATTTTTTTTATGATAGAGGATGTATTACAATAAACATAACTGCCTATGGCCTATAATAGACATATGTTAGATTATGAGAAAATGGCACCAAACCCGAAGAATGGGACTAGAAAATTAAATACACTTTTTATTAATAAAAAAAGATATAAATTAAAAAAAAATTATTTTCAAATATTTTTTATATAAACTGGTTATGAAACTATGTTTTTCTTCCAGATCTCTGTCATAGTAATTGATCCGTATTTATAAGTGACCCTTTTAGTGTTCCTGATTACGATTTCATGACAATAATTGGAGGAATCAGCAAGTTTCTTTGTTTTAAACATAAAGTTTAGGGCTAGAAACATTAATCTGCTCACTTATAAATACTATGAGCATTAGCTCCTATGATTGAGTACTAGGAGAAAAATTGTTTCATAATTACTTTAGATAAAAAATATTTGAAAAATCATTATTTAAATCTGTAAAATAAACACTTTGCAACATTTAATTGTTTTACTTTTTGCTGAAAACGCGGGTATTTTTAAGTTACTGGTGCCCGAAATCGGTCTTGGTCTTGCACTTTACAAGACCAATGTTGCCTAACTGTTGCAAGACCAAGACCAGGACTGGTAAAAAAATCGATTTTTTAAATAAAAATTAAGGCAAAATAGTAACTAATAATTGATAATCTTAGTTACTATATTTAAAGAATCAGTATGCAATATGCTTTTGCATTTAACTCCTCTAATTTTTCATTCGGGATTAGTTAGGTTTCTCCTATATACAAAATTACAGTAATATCTCTATAGTAATAAGCTAATAAGTTACGAGACTCTTGCGTAAGACCAAGACAATGACCAAGACTGAGTTTGCAAGACCAAGACTCGTCTCGGTCTCGAATTTGGGCAACACTGCGTGCTAAGATAAAAAATCACATAAGTTTTATATACAACTTGAGCTGAATCTCAAGAAGTGAAGTTTTTGCCTAATAAACCTCTACTTAATTAATATGGATTTAAAGTTTATTGAACCGGTCATTTTTTCTAAAACTCCTCTTTAAATGGTTTCAACAATGATAAACTCTATTTTAATTTGAAGGAAATTTGGTCCAGTTTTCAGTGAAACTATTGCTAGTTACTTAAATTAAATATTTCTTTATTGATCGCTTCCAATTCAACAAAAGACACGAAATACTTGATAAAACACAAATCTTGGATTTTCTACTTTTCTGCTAAAAAGTGGCTCATTGTTTACATGAACTTTTTTGCAGCTTTTGAGGTCTGCTATCATTCCTATAAAAATTTCCCTCTACTTACTCGATACCCTACATATATATGGCGGATGTCGTCGTGAAAATACTGTTCTTCCTAACTTCACGTTTTTCGAATATTGTAGATGCACCGATAAGGTACATAAACAACAGAAATTGAAACAGTTTGAAATGCGAAATTGGTCAACTCGTTTCAGAGATAATCCTGTCACCAACACATAGATAGTTGTAGCGTTTTAGTTAGGCGGTAAAGAAAGAGAAAAACATTGGCTATAATGCAGGTTGTGATTTCAGTGAACACCAGTGGTTAAAAACGTGTGCTTACTTTTCTGTTGTTTTTTAATTTATCAGTTTAGTCTAGACATGTCTTCATTAATTTTTATTTTCTCCTCACTCTTTGGCCATTGGTCTTATTGACCAGGGGTGCGGAAAGAGTTACCAGGAAAAGGAATGAGAAGAAAATAAGAAAAACTACATTACAAGATTGGGTAAGTGTGCACATCTACAAAATTAAGTAGATCACCTGTTTTAAGGTTTATAACAAACATTAATTTAAATAAACGTGTTCTTTACAAAACTATGCAAAATAATAATATTTTCAGAAATATAAAAAGAGAACTACATAACGGAACGAATTATTTGGTTGATTTAAGAGCTAACGAAAAAGAACCTGTCCAAAACTGGAAAGTTAGGAAAAAAAAACACCTTTTTTTTTTTCTGAAAATCTCCAAGGTCATAACTCGAATTTTATTTTTTGAGATTCGATCAAATTCTTGAATTTTTTTTATTTACTATGCTTTGGCTGCATTGATCGA